GTAAGTGTAATTCTATTATCGCCTATAATTTTTAAAAAAGTAGTAAAATTAGAATTAGCTACGAATAGCTCGAAAATAGTCAAAATATTTAAAAAATTGTAAGCTGTATAAAAARTACAAATCGAAACATTCGACGACGATTTCATTTATACGGTTATTTGTTTTAGTTACTAACTRGTATTTCGTACCAGCTATACGGCGGGGAGTTAGTTCGATCTGACACCCCTCTTGGTAGTTGGCGGCTCCGGGGTCGTGGCCGTTATCAGCAGCAGATTCAGCTGAGTTGCGGCTGCGGCGTCGATGGTGTTGTCATTGGACACGCCCGGTGGTAGTGTGTATCATGTACAGAATGTAGTGATAAGACGTCGCGCGCACGTCGGCAGTCGGTCCGCGGTCGTCCGTCAGTTCGCCGCCTCGCCGTCGATACTCGGTCATAATATCGTCGTCCTGGATACTATACTGTATTTAAATGCTATATTTTCACTCTTCTCGTTTTCCTCCCATTGCCGGTCACAATATCCTAGTTTGGTTTCGTATCATAATTACTTTAGGTAATATATAAGTATACAACACAAGTACAGTTATAATAATAATAATAATATTATCATTGCTGGGGACGTGCGCGCGCACGCCGCCAACCACCCGATCGTTGGACGCAGAGACCCTCRCCGAGGGTGGCGCAGAAGCAAGTACGAGCGGGAGTGAAGAGCGCACGAGTGTTATAACCACCGTCATCCGTGTGATCGCGTCGGGAGCTGCGCTGTAGCCGCAAGTCCCGTGCTGCCAACGGCGGCCAAACGTAAGACGACGCTCAAAGATTGATTACCGTAACAATATAGTATAGTACACCGCATTACGTATTTAAATACTATCAAATGTAATCTACGTAGTCAGTAGATTGTAATAAAACATAAAACGTATAGTTAGTGATTTATTTAAGTGACGACAAATTTACGACATCGATGACGTACGGGGTGTACTATAGCGTTTGTGCCTGTATTATATCGGCATTCGGTGACTAGGGGTATTGCTTACACAGGGCACTAGGATATCGATCGAATATTTTAGGATGTGTAGCTGATATCGCACTTTAAGCCTATACAATGCGTGCTACACCGCCAAGTTGTTCTATATAATATATAATATTATATTATAGGTAGAACGCGAGCGAAGAGGGGTAATTTTTTGTTCTTGTTGTTTCCTGACGGTTAGTATACTGTAGGTGATGTAGGTACCTATTATACTACGATAATTTTACGGGGGTTAACAATATGAGTAAAAGTACACGTACATGCCTACTTATATGGTTTCTAACGATGAAATGTCCTATATATCATTGTTATATTYGACTGGTAATCGTGAATTCATGAGTCAATATCGATAGCATTAACGTATACCAATAATAATACGCTGTGCGATTTTTCCRATTCCGATTTTTATAATTTTTAAGTACACTTGAAGACTATTTTCTTCGAGATTTATTGTTCCACATTTAGAATGGTTTAAGATCTTCAGTATCCCTTTTTAAAACCGTAGCCCCTCCCCCTTTCATGTATAATTATTGAACGAACATTTTTTTTTATTTAACAAACTTGGTGAGAACCATTAGTTTCGACAATTACAATAAACATATGAATATATAATATTTACTAAATTAGAAAAACATT